GCCGCTGTTCCAAGACTCTGAATATAGCCGCAAGTCAAGAGAAGGGGGGTAGAAGAAAAGGGAGGGGGTACTTACGGCTATATTCAGAGTCTTGAAACGATCTTAACCTTTAAATTTGGGGTGGGGGGAAGAGAGGAGGGGGGATGGGGGTTGGCGCGCGAAGCGCGCAGGGGGCATAGCCCCCTAGTATATATATATATATATATATATATATATATATATATATATATATATATATATATATATATATATATATATTATATATGATGTATTCCACGCCAAAGTGTAAGTCCATCTGCAATTGCATCTCCGATTTTTTTGAGAATTTTTTTCTTTTAGTACTAATTGAAACTAGCTTCCATGAATTTTTTCAAATTTTTTTTAGCAAGTCGTTTTCGAGTTATGGAATTTTGAAAATTGGAGAATTTTCATGACTTTTAATTTTTGAATGTTCATAACTTCCTTAAAAATGCATCAATTTTAAAAGTCTTTTTTTCAAAATGTGTGTTTTTCAAAACGATATTACTATCAATTTTTTGAGTTTTAATGATAAAAAGTCATTTTTCTCATTTGACGTACTGATCGATTTTTTTCAAAATTAAAAAAAAAAACTACTTCTTTTTACGAAACTTTTAAGCCTAGTTTGATAATGGGCAAATTATTTTTACAATATTGTCGGAATTTTTCAAAAAATTTTGAATTTTTAAAAAATATTTTTCGTTTTTTTTATACTACGTACTTTTATGTATTTTGATGCGCTGATTACAAAAATCATAGTGACAATACCCACAAATTTGATTTTTATGGTGAAAACCCACGGTGTGCTTGAATCAAGTCTAAATAAAAAGTTCTCCGAAATGGCGTTTTTCCACAGATTTTATTAATTTGAGCCTCCCTGAGTATTTTCCAATAAAAAAAGAAAAAATCGGTCGGGCTGTTTTTGAATGGGGTTGATTTTAAGGGTTGAAAATCTGTAATTGTGAAAAAAACTTTTTTAATCAAAAATATATTTAAAAAAAACTTTTTTGGTCAAAAATATTTTATTTAATTAATTTGGACTATTTTAAGACGAAAATATTTCTTCCCATTTTTTTTGTAAAATGCGTTTTTTAAAAATTATGAGTATTTCAAAATTTTTAAGTATTTTCTTTATAAATTTAGATTTTGTTATATTTAACTATAAAAAATTTAGATTATAATATAAAACTATAATAAATAACAAGATTTGTAATTTAAAGCATGAAAATTATTTATTTTATCAAGTCAACAATAAAATTAACTTCCGTTTGATTGAAAAATTCTAATATCATATAAAAAAAAGTATTATACATGAAGACCATTAAATTCACAAACGGCTCGAAACAAGCGCTTAGCATAATCGGAATGATTCAAGTGAACTTTGTATTTGTTCCATATAACTTTAAATTCATGATGAACAGACTCAAAGGCATGTTCGCAAATTACACCTAAGCAAAAATGATGTTTTTCACAAAATTCTGTAACATAATAAAAAATGCAATGCACTTTGGGTGTTTTGGAGATTTCCAATTCCAAATAGCTTTTTTAAAATTATATATGTACTTTGCAAAATTAGGATCTAAAATATTACTAAAACAAGCATCAGCAACAGCTCGAAAATCACTATGAACTTGCACATACTTTAAACATCCTATAGGGCAAATACGACGTAAATCATCTAATTTATTTAATAACTGCCTACAATTATTTCCATTAAAACTTTCGCCTCTGTACTTAACTTGACGCTCAACATTGCAATTTTTTGCCCAGGATGAAGCTGTATTTCCAAACTGTTTTTCCATATGATTGAATATACCATTTACTACTCCCAAATACAAGTGAAGTTCTGGTGGTGGTATTATATCAAGCATAGTTTTATCTTGATCAACATTAAATATTGGTGGGGAAATGCAACATTTAAATTTTTTGGCAAATTCTTTTTTGGCGCCGGCATGAGCCCAATCAGTATAGTTTGCTTTGATACTTATGATTGTGCGCAAAGTAGAAGATTCACTGAAAAGATCCTTTTAAAACATCACACCAAGTGCACGGATAACTACTGTTAGAAAGTTATAGAATTTAAAAATTTCAGGAAGTATTTAGTGACCTCTGTAGTTATTTGTGAGAGAAAAGAATTATAGCGTGGAGGAGGGAGAGAGGTCTTTGAGTAGAGATAACGACGACTCGGTATAGGTCAGACCTAGGCGGGTTCCTTTTTTCGATCCTTAAAGGAAGTCGAGACAGACTGTTTTATATGTATAATATTAGACGAGGATTTTAAATAGTTTAATAAATTTGGTTTTTCTCTGTTAGAATCCCGAACAAGTGGCGACCGTGACAGGACATTTTTCTTAAATTCGGGATTATTGATAAAGTGTACACGCAAGTGAACTGTGAGTGAGTGAAAACTAAAAAATGGAAGCAGCAAAGCGACAAAGGAAGAGTCATACATTCGAGCAGATATAGTGTAAAAGTTGGGATACACACTTCATGCAGAGATTGAAGTGTCACATTCATTGTTTGGAGGGGTTACCTCAAAAGCAAAAAAGCATGATATATTTAAAATAAGAGTAAAAAATTTAGATAAAAAGTATGCATGTAATTTTTCTGTACTGAGTCAGGAAACAATTTGTGAGACAATACCATCCATAAAAAAAGAATCCTGGCTTAATGACTTACGTAAAGAAAACATTAATTTAACTGACGCGGGGTACCAAGGGGGTTCTATCGATGTACTCATTGGGGCTGATATTGCCGGAAAATTATTTACCGGGAAAAAATGCGATTTGTCGAATAGGTTGACAGTGCTAGAGACGTTACTGAGATGGACGGTGCTGGAAAGGGTATCAAAACAAAACGGAGAAAAGTCGGAGACAGTTAATATTTTAACGACGCTGCTTGTTCAAGAGGCGAATCCATCCGAGTTATGGCGATTAGATATACTCGGTATTACAGATCCTATTGAAAACGAATGTGAGACGAAGCGTAACGAAAACGTACGGAAATTTATAGAGAGCACATCTAAGTTTACTCCTGAGGTGCAGTACCAAGTTAGATTACCCTGGAAGGAGAATTATGTCCCACTACCAACGAATTTCAATATCGCACGTCAACGTTTAGTAAAGACTGTAGAGAAATTGAATAATCAAGGTTTATTTCGTGCTTGTAGCGAAGTTTTTGAAACGTGGTTAGCAAAAGACATAATTGAGAAAATTTCCGAAAAAGATGTTTCCCATATAGGCCATTACCTTCCACACCGACCTGTCATAAAAATGAACAGTACAACAAAAATTAGACCGGTATTTGATGCATCAGCTAAGAAAAAAGGGCATCCGTCATTAAATGATTGTTTAGAAAAAGTTTCCGAGAGAGAAAAGTGGGCGTTATCTCAGATATAAAAGGCGCGTTTTTGCAAGTTGAAGTTAATAAGTCTGACAGAGATCACTTGCGTTTTATGTGGGAAGTAGATGGAAAAATCGTTGTGTTCCGTCATTGCCGCGTAGTGTTTGGTCTATCCAGTAGTCCTTTTTTGTTATCAGCGGTTATTGCGTTACTACTGGATCGATCTCTGCAAAAAGTGCAATCTGGCGATGAATTTTTATGGACGCAAAAATTAGTTAAAAAATTAAAAGATTCATTTTACATGGATAACTGCGTAACAAGCGTAGATTCTTTAGAAGAATTGCAAGTTTTTGGGAAAGAAGCCACTGCTGTCATGGCTGCGGGTGGGTTTGAATTGCGTGGATGGGAAAATTCAGGAGAAATTTCGGAAAATAAAGTTGCACTTGTTTTAGGAATTTCTTGGAATAAGAGTAAAGACACGATATTAATTAATCCTGATATGATGGATATGAAAATCTCCAGCATTTTAACAAAACGATCCCTTTTATTCATATCACATAGGATATTTGATCCTATTGGTTTTACAAGTCCAGTTTCCCTGAAACCCAGAATTTTACTAAAGCAGTTATGGGAAGAAAAAGTAGAAAGAAGAAGCGAGAATTTGGTTGAAAGAACTGCCATTAATAAAAGAGATTTAAATCAGTCGAGAAATTGGGGAAGGAAGTTTGTCGTTACACGCTTTCGGAGATGCTAGCAAACAGGCTTATGCTGCAGTTGTATTCGCGCGTATTGTTACTGAAAATTCAATAGGAGTTCAATTGTTGGGCGCTAAGTCTCGAATAGCACCTGAAAAATCCTCAATACCTCGACTAGAGTTAATGGCAGCATCAATAACAGTTAGGCTCGTGAATTCAATGGCAAAATCTTTGACTCGTCCTCGCAACTCCTGACGGCTACAAAAAATGTCTTATTTTACTTCCTGGCGTCGTTTATCGTAATGAATTTTCAATTTCTTGTGCGTAAATGAAAGAACAACATTCAGGATGACTGGTATTTTTTTCGATTTTTCCGTTTCTATTCGAGTTGAGAGAAAAATTCTTTTTAAATTAAATGCACCTACGAGGAGCCAATTTTTAAAAGACAACCACTGCTTGCCAATGCGGAACACCATTAAGTTTGATTGGAATCCAGGGCCAACGCTATTTTGTTTTTATTGTTTTTTTACAGAGAGCACTAAATGTAATTATTTATTTTTTTAAAAGAAAGCAGAAAAAATTCGTAAAGTTGGAAAATTAGGGTAAAATTTTCAGAACTGCGCAAACTTTATGGTATTTTTCATAAAGTTTTTGAGTTTTGGTTGACGGGACATATTTTAGAACTGACATTTAGAATTTTCAAAATCTAATTTTAAATTAGTAATTAGCGATCTAAAAAACCACTTAGTTGGAGCAAATCTGACATTAGATTCATGTTCAGCGCATCAAAATACATTGGAGTAAGGTACTTTAATTTTCCACGTAGGGTAATTTTTAATGGGGCTGTGTTTTGGCTAGAAAAAAACGTTTCTGGTCTACTATGTTTTGGCGTTAAAACATTATTATTATCAGATATTCATATTTAAAAAAAAAAATTCATCATAGATGAACGTTGTTTTTTGGAAAATTCAAAATGACTGGGACACATTAACATCAAAACATGAAGTCGATATTCTTCACAAATATGGCAGGAAATGCAGATTTTATTCCATGATATTCGCTTGTAGATATTTTATTATTAGAATAATAATTTAAGTAATTAAAAAATTGTTTAAAAACTTTAAGTTTATATTAGCAAATATAGGTTTATTATACTGTCTTTCTTTAAAACAAGTTTTCTACTTCCTTTGATTTTTCAGTTGGACTCTTTGGAAATCTATCAAACTTCGTGTTTTTACATTTTAGTACTCTGATGCGTAACACTTTGAAAAATAATAATGAACCTTCGCAGCTTCTTTTTCTAACTGACTTTGGCATAGATTCAGAAAAATACTTCTACCTAATATTACTACACAATTATTTATCTGCTTCCATTTGTACTGCTGTGATCGTAAATGGAGATATAGTTCTTTTAATGTTCCTTGAGCATGCATGTGGAGTATTTGAAATAATAGGGTAAACTTAATTATTTAATTAGATATAGTTTCGGTATAATGTATATAACATAAGTTGATTTTCTGAATACGAAAATAGTAATAGTAAATATACGCAAATTTATTTTTTATGATGTAAACCATAAAAATTGTGGTTTTTTATTTATCTCTGGAAATAAAAATATGGAAATTTGGAGAGGGAATGAGTGATTTATTAGATACCTCATAGCAATAATTGCACGACCTCCACGCACGTTTGATCCTTTCCGTTAATAGTGCCTAGAGAACGTTAGAGCGAGAGTCTGAAAGTGTTTTGACTACGAAGTTGAATAGGATAAAAACTGTTTACAACTATCACCCGTTCCACGTGCAGACAAAGTGCTGCATGTGCACTTTGGCATCCCAACAATACAATAGTAATCGGACACGTATTTTAACCTGACAATATTAAAGATGTGTAAATTTGAAGATAAAAAAGTTAAATTATACAGACTAAACAATAACAATAAAAGGGCAAATTAATGTGATTACAACACATAATTGTTCACATGAAGCACGTGTTTTTGCATAAATTGCGTTGTACATGGCATCGCTATTTCTCAATTCATCCAACGTTTGATAAAGAGAGTATATTCTATCCACGACTTCGCATAAATCTAATTCTGGTGATTGTATCGTCTTACTCACAATTAAAATGATGTTGAGTACTGGGTTCAAGATTTGCAAACTCCTCAGAAAATTAAAATTTTTTATTTGAATTATCTTGTTTCAAAAGAAGATTTCAGTTTTAAGGTGACTCTCGGTAAGCAATGTCAGTAGATCCTTTCTTGTTTGCTTTCATTTGATGCAAATATACGGCAATAAATACAAAAAGTTGCATCTTATTTTTGATTATACCATATTGTTGCAATTGATTTTATAAGTTTTCTTCGTCATATAATTGTCCTATAATTATTATTAAAATAGCAAAATGGGATTGCAAGGGAGAATGACACTTGAAATGATTTTTCAAAGTCTCTTTGGCGAGTGTACCACTTGTTCGTCAAAGGGGATTTAATAAATCAAGTAAAGTGATGTATGAGAAATATCAAAGGAAAAGAGATGCGCTTTCTAATTTCCTAAGTTTTCAAAAATAAAAATTTCTATTTTCAATTTTTTTCACAATTTTCCGTTTCACTAACTTTAGAGCGTGCGGCTAAGCGTACGTTCCCTTATTCTATCCAATTAAGCATGCAAATCGAGAAAAAGCACGTGAACTTGTTAAGTTGCTTAGAATAGGAAGGCTATGTACGCTCCATTGCTAACTTCACAGCACTAATACTCGTTATTCCCCTCCCAATTTTCTGGAGAACTAGAGCTAATGGAAATTTGTTGTTTACCGTTTCGTTTATAGCACTCAAAAATCTACAAAATACAGCTTTTCAATTTTCAAAAAATCAGCTTCTGTTATACCTTCCTGAACAAGAATGTATGCCGTCTGGCATTTTTGACCAATATATTCTTTAAATAATTTTTATCTATAAATATAGTGAGGAATCTAATTAGTTGAAGCATGTTCTACCCACGTGAAAAGATTACCGGTAAACTCCGCGAAATAGCTCCGCGGAATTTCCGCAGAGCAGCTCCGCGGATTTTCCGCGAAATTTCCGCAAATTTTTTTTTTGCATAATAATATATTTATGTTATTATTTAAAGTAATATAATATTAAATTCAATACATTCTATTTAAATTACAATCGGTAAGGATTTTTTAAGGATTTTAACATTTCAAGACATGATGAAAATACGAAGCATTAGAAGAATAACAAATCGATGTCACTCAAGAACTAGGCAGCAGCAAGAATACAATTTTTTGGGGAAGTTAAACATGTCGTATAAAATTTTCATATTACGAAGCCATCAATAAGTAACGGTAACGACCGGGAAATCATTTCTTTTTCCAAACCTTTTTAAGAGCTTATAACCTGTATTTAGATTATAAAGTTATTTTCTGAAAGTTTTAATTGTAACCTAATTTAACCCTACTAAAAATTAAAATATATAATGAGTGAAATAAATTTTATTAAATAAATAGAAATCAGTATCATATGGCAAATGCATTTTTATTTTTTTATTAATAAAATTTTTATATGAAATGAATTTTATTATTGTCTTATAAAAAGGATAAATACAAGTAAAAAACTATTTAATCTATTATATATTTAACTCTCTTTAATGCAATAATCTGATATCAATTTTGGGATTACTTTTTTAAGTAGAAAAGAAAAATACATACATCTTTACCGGCTATAACCGTGAACCTATTTTTATAGTTTTCAATTTTTTGTTAACAAAATTAGTGTCAAAGTCTTCTCTCACTTGTTAACTAAAAATTAAAAAGTAATTTTAAGTAGAATATACACAATTTAATTTTATATTATTTTAAATAATAACATAAATATATTATTATGCAAAAAAAAAAATTTGCGAAAATTTCGCGGAAAATCCGCGGAGCAGCTCTGCGGAAATTCCACGGAGCTACTTCGCGGAGTTTACCGGTAATCTTTTCACGTGGATATTAAGTTCATGTAAAAATACAACTACGAACATAAAATAAATGTAATAACTGATAACCATTAAAAAAAATTATTATTTTTAGTTAAAAAATTTGATATATAATTATCAGTATTAAATAAGTCTATTACATATTTATTGTTCACAGAAATAAATTGACCTCTGCAATCAAAGAAAATTCTAATTCCACTAATAATGTTAATTTTCGAAAGAAGCTACAGCAAGAAATTAAACTTTGTGTGTCAATGCACAGAAGAGTTCTATTGTTTGTATAACACAAATTTTACTTAAAATTAACTAAATAAGGCTTGAAGTAAAAAAATTAAAATTATCTTATATTTTGTAACATTTAAATTTTATTTATTCTATTTAATGCAGGCAATTCTCTCTAATTTTTAATACCCTCAAATTGGTTAGAATATTGAAAAACTCAAGTATTTTACATTCTTAAATGCAATTTTTATTTATTTTGTGGATTATACTTCATAAATTTTTAATTTTATAAATTTTATTTAGATAAAAGCATAAATGTGACGATTCTTATTAATTCCGCTAATGATAATACATTTATGATTTTTTTAAATTGTAAACACAATACGCATAAAAGAAAAAAAAAATTTCTATTTCAAATTTATTTTATTTATTACTTTTAATGTACCCAGATAGCACGCAAGTCTGTTGCCAACTTGCAGCCGACTTGCATTGCAAGTTTTTTAAGTTTGCTTTGCAAGCTTGCAATGTCCCACCCTTCGCAAACTTGCACTGCAACTTTGCTGAAAGTCTTCTGCGAGTTTACAAATGCAAGCGTAGGGGAGGATAAGGCATGAATAGTTAGGTAAGACGTTTTTTAATCTAGCGACCAAACCTGAATTTGTATCTGCAAACGAGTAGTATTTTTGGAAAGCCTGGTTATTTGGCTATAATTTTGCTATGCATTATTTTGCTGTAGACTGCAATCCCTACGAGATACGAATGAAAAAGTAAAAAAAAAATGTTAACTATCCTTGCCCCAGTACCGGGGCAAAGATAGTTTAAAGAATCCGAATGCTAAAATTGTCATAGAAAATCAGTAAATTTTCGGTTTCTTTATTTTATTGGATTTAGATTATTCGATATTGATATATCAAGTATTAAAAACATGTTTTGAACATTTTATAAATATCAATTATTGCATTAAAATTCGTCTGAACTAAAATCTGAAGTTTAACCAATTTTCTTCAGATGATCACCAATTTCTTGGTCAATAAGCTTCGTTTTCCGTATTATACATACCATTATATCAACATAAAAAGAACAATCAGTTTTTCTAAATTTTAAGGAACGACGTGATTTAATTTAGAAGTAAAATGATAAACACTACGTTGACATTTTATCAAAACAGACTTTTTACAAAAATAAACTTCTGACTTCGCAATTGGTCTAAGCATAACAGTATCTAACTATCCTTACCCATTAACTATCCTTGCCCCATCCTCCCCTATATTTTGCAAAAAATATTTTTCTTAAAACCAAAAAACGATGCGTAGTTCAATTCTATAACATATAGGGCTGCGCAGTACATTTTTTTACCTTCCAGCTATGGTCTCAAATACATATCCCAACTAGCACGTAATATTACTGTAGTATTACTAGAATATTACAGTGATATTAAAATGTCCGCCTGATGGTGATATTACCGAGTAATATTACTGTAATATTACGGTAATGATGTACAGTAATATTACAGATTGATTTGTATGCATAAAGCATCATAATCATAAATATATTGTAAGTCAGTGTGGCTTGTTGGTAAAACTCTGGACTTATGTGCCTTGAGTTCGGGGTTCGATTCAGCGGTTGGGTACATTTTTTTCGTAAAATAATACTGCCCTACAACGAAAGAAAACACATAAGCCACATTGTCGCTTCAGTCGCTCTTCCGCAGTGTTTATATACAGAACTCGACCAAAGCGACAATGTGGCTTATGTATGTTCTTCCGTTGTAGGGCAGAATACTCTTCTAATATTACTGCAATATTCTCGTGTATCATTACCTTAATATTACTGTAATGTTACTGTAATATTACAGTAATAATGCATTAATATTACAGTAACATTATCCGGTAATATTACCATGAGGCGGTCATTTTAATATCACTGTAATATTACAGTAATGTTATAGGGTTATATTGCTGTAATATTACCGTAATATTAATAACTAATTAATTAATTAATCGAATAATAAATTAATAATATTTTCCAGCTAGCTTGCAGCAAACTTGCAGAAGACTTTCAGCAAACTTGCTTCAAGCTTGCTACAAGTATGCTGCAAGCTTGCAGTGCAAGTTTGCAAAGGTTGGGACATTGCAAGCTTGCAGGAAACTTGCAATGCAAGTCGACTGCAAGTTGGCAGCTAACTTGCGTGCTATCTGGATATAGGTATCAAGTTCTAAATTTAATAAATTTAATTTCTTTTCAGTTCAATTTCAAAAGATTTATTTTGTAAATTTATTTCTAAGTTTACGTGGCTGATTGGTCACCCTTACAGACTTGTAACGACACAACTTGAGATTAATTTTTATTTTTTCAAATGGAATGAAAAGTAATAAATATTACCTTATTCCTTTTCTGCACTTGTGAATTATAAAAAAGGGAATTTCTCTAATTTATTGGAATTAACCATTGTAATATTCTATTCGCTGTATTACTAGGAAATCAACAGACATATATTACAAACAGACAGACAATAATTTACTGCGTCAAAATTTCATATGGTTTTTGATCCTAAATAGTTTGTTCAGTACTATTCAAACCATGCTGAAAACCCCTGTAAAAGATCATAAACAAGAAAATGTACTTGTAAGGAACGTTTTTAAAATGAACCTGATTTTTTGCCTACTGGAATAAGTGAATAGTCTTAATGATTATAACTTATTAAAATATCAAATTTAAAAAAAGAATCTTTTTTATAAATGTACTAAGTACTTGTACATAAAATTGAACGTGTTTATGTAGAAGTACTTGCACATGAATCTGCACAAGATCATGTACATTTTCTTGTCCAAGATCTTGACAATTTTCTTATCATAATGCATTAAACTACTAACTTAAGGGGTAAACCACTGTGAAGACCGAAAATCAGACCCATTTTTAAGATTTTTTTTTCAAGAACAAAATAAAATTAATTAAAACAAGGAGGGGGTCCTTTATGTTTATTTCATAAACATTTTGCTTCCTCATTGTGTGAAGCAAAAAATTTGCTTCCTCGTGGAGGAAGCTATGAATTTCTCTAATTCAATTGATTGATTTAATACATTTCGAGTTAAAAACTGATTTAAATTATTTAAATTTTTTGAAAAATTAAGAAAATTTTAATTTATTTTGGGTGTAACATATACTTTATATATATACGAATCGAATCGTTTTAATGCGAGGAATTTAATTATTTTATGTATTAACTTGAATTGAAAAAACACAACATTTTTTAGCTAATATGTACATTTTTGATTTTTTAACTTTCATTAATTCTTTAAATTTCAATCAAATTTATACTTTATATATACCAATCGATTGGTCTTAATGTAAGGAAGAAGATTAAATTATATATTACCATAAATTTTTCCATTTAAAAATTTTTTCAATTAAAAAAAAATGTTGGAAAAAAGACGATAAAATTTTTTTTTGGGTAAGGTAAATGCACCAGTAATCGTCAGTGCATTAGTTATCGGCAGCTAGTACATTATATTGTAAAAAATAAGATCAGTGTAACTTTCCTGTGTTATTAATTGTGTGTTTTGATAAAATAAAACCTTTCGGCATCGAAAAGATACATATTCGTCGTGTAAATAGTAAATTTTTAATTAAAAAATAAATATACTATAATATACAAGATGCGACGTGCTTTTTAAATAAATTAATATTGCGCATCTAGCGCGTCGTTGATAATTACTATTAAGAAAAACCTATCTCGAAACCTCGTTCTCTCTGGGGAGATTCCGCCAAACAAAACCGACGATGCAAAACGGCGAGACCAATGAACCTAAGGGAAGCCAACACTTACCCACGATGTCTTTAACAGCAAAATCTCCGCAATCTGTAATTAATAATTACGCCAACTCCCAGTTAAACACTGATTCACACGAGTATAATTCTTTATTAAAAAATAAGTAAATCACAGTCAACAATAATTAAACTATCAATCAAAATTATATGGACCACTCGCGATCCGCGGCCTGCAGGGAAAACGTGTCGCCTGATTGATTGTCGAATGAATAGTGCTGGCCTCGATCGCCACTGCGCGCTAAGGTCCTTCTTCCTTGTCTCGCAGCTTGGAAAATCCATCTCTCGTTCTCCGTCACTCTGACGCAACAACCACCTGTAAGGGGGAAATTCGGACGTCGCCGACCAAATTCGGACCCTTCGGAATCACGCCTGCGCGACTCATTAATATTCGTTCTGTCCCACGAAACACATCTTTCCAAAAAGGCCCTCAAAATAATATTACAAATCTCGACGAACAAAAGCAATATTTCGTTCGTATAACGAATGCCTCGTTATAATCTCCTCCCCATGGTCGGTATTCTTTAATATCGCCATAACCCAAAATAAATGCACCCTTAGGTCAAAATAACAACAAATTCTCCATCAAAATTAAACATATTTTTAATTGTCAGAAAATAGACTCTGTTATCATAACAACATGACTTATATTCTAATTTCAGTCTTCAAGACTTAACCAACAACAAAAAATTATATTTATGAAATAGAAAAATTAAGAAAATAATACATCTTTTATTTTAAGAAAAATCAAAATACTGTCCTCACAGGACGCCTTATTTCAACCCTCTGAGGAACCGGTTTTTGGCTTCCGCCACCAGTTCTGGAGCCACTCCTTGCAATAGACGGTCGAGTTCCCTTGGTCCCTTAACCATTTCCATCACAGAAGTAGGAACAACCTGGGTTGCTCCAGCCGTTCCTGATGGAACCGCCGGCAATTTTTCCACAACCGGGCCTTGAGCTGTAACATTCTTCAACCCTGATGCAACTGGACTCCGTTTGGTTAGTTTTGGCTCCATTTTTCTCTCCACTGTGGGAGGCCTTGTAACAGGTTTCACTCCCTGCCTAGTCTTGAAAATACGTCCACAACGCGGACAGTCTTCAATTCTCACCCCATGGCGGCCACAATTTCTGCAATAGCTATCCAAAGGCATTGGACACATCACGGATTTGTGACCCCGCTGCCAACAATTAAAGCACGCTCTCATCGGAGGGTTCAACAGCGGATCG